AAGATTGGTAAACAATGTAATTACAATTGAATCTTCAAGTTTTATGAAAGAAATAATTTTTTAGGATATCTAAAATGAAATTAGTACATCATTTTTACAGATAATAAACGGCGATTTTTTGGAACAAAACCGTATTTTTTAGATTTAATAGACGTCTTTGGATATAATAAACGACGGTTTTTTAAGAAAAAGTGTCATCTTTACATTTAAATAGACGACGGTTTTTTCAGAAAAAGTGTCGTCTTTACATGTAATAGACGACGGTTCTTTTAAAAACCGTCGTTTTTACATATAATAGACGACGGTGAATTACCGTTGTAGTTTGACTTTCAGAAAGACGACTGTCGATTTAACGACGGTTTGAAAAAGAAAAAGATGACGGCGTTTCCGCGTCGTCTATTTCAATTTTTGTAGTAGTGTGAAATAATGAGACGCATCCACATTAATTATATCCTCTAACAAAGCAACAGGGTTGGATCAATACAAGAACAACTCTAACAAAGCACCAGAAAATGAGGCTTCATTAATTATATCCTCGATAGTACTTGATGATTTATGGAATCTAATATATGAAAAAGAAATTATATTGATGTAATTTAGGATCCCTTCGATTCATATATTGATGGTTTCTTCATTGTTTAGGTATGTGAGTGTAATCTTTTAGAAATATTATTTTTAGGGTTATGGGTTCTTGGCTTCGCCCAAATAGTTTTATAAATAACCCAAATTGTTAATTGGAAGTGGAGAGGAATTGAATATCTAGACCCGCTGAATAAAGTTAGAGGAATTGAATATCTGTATATGTTCCGGGTTAGAGAAAAAGTATGTCAAGCATTTTCCAATGGAAAACAAAATCTCACGCTCAATTGCTCAAATATTAGAAAACCCTCATTAAATGTGTCTTGGAAAAATTTCACACACGACAAATCTTTTCTTGACCGTTGCTACAATAAAAAGTATATAAATACAGTTTTGATCTTAACCAACAATAATATACAAGACAGAATGGAGCCATTAATGGCCTCTTCAAGATTTGTTTTCTTCCTCTCTCCCATTCTGTTACTAATAAGTTCTCAATCCCTTGCTCAGCCTGAGTTTCCAAGCCATGACTGTTTCAACGAGAAAGGCAACTATACCACAGGCAGCACCTACCAAACAAACCTTAACACCCTTCTCTCTTCTCTTTCTTCCCCCTCCAACAACGGCAATGGCTACGGCTTCTACAACTCCTCCTTTGGAGAAAATGCCGACCAGGTCCACGCAATCGCGCTATGTCGAGGCGATGTCATGGCGGACACTTGCCGTGGCTGCCTCAGTAACTCCACAAAAAAGCTCACACAGGTCTGTCCCAATCAGAAGGAAGCTATCGGCTTTTACGACGAGTGCATGTTGCGCTACGCAAACCGCTCCATCTACGGCGCCATGGAAAAGGACCCTGTTTTCCCGTTGTGGTGGAACATACACAACCTGTCGTCCTCCGACGTCGACGGGTTTTTTCAAGAGATGAGGAAGCTGCTGAAAGACCTAAGTGGTCAAGCTGCGGCGAACGGTTCTCTTCGGAAGTTCGCGGTAGGGAACAAAAACGCTCCCAATTTCCAACCAATATATGGACTTGCGCAGTGCACGCCGGATTTGGCCGAGCAGGCCTGCAGTGAATGCTTGGATGCTGCTATGGGAGAGATCACAGCATATTGTGAGAGGAAGCAAGGTTGTAGAGTTCAGAACCCCAGCTGTACCGTTAGGTATGAAGTCAATCGCTTCTATGACCCTACAACTGTGGTGCCGTTGCCGTCACCCCCGCCACCACTGTCTAGTCCTCTTCCACCATCAACCAGTACAGGAGGTACATATGCTTTGAACAAATAAAGTTGGCTTAATTAGAGCAATTGCCCATGAATTTGTACACGAGTTACATTTGATTATCTCAATTCAAGTTTTTGTTGATGTAGTCGTGTCATATACAAGTTCAGGCACCATTGCTATAATTCACACTACAACAATTTTGGTCAAAGAGATTTCTAATGCATATTTTGTTAGGTTCATATACAGATGTATGTATGTATGTATTCAAATTAACGCAAATGAGATTTCTGATTTTTGCAGGATCGAAGAGTCGTAGATCTCGGACTGTCATCATTATTGTTGTGCCAATTATTGTTTCTGTGGTACTAATAGTTATATTCTTCTGCATTTGTTTAAGAGTAAGGAGGACAAAGAAAAAACTTGAAACTAAGAAGTTACTTCCAAGTAAGCAGGCAACTCTAGTGAACATTAATCATATTATTCCATTTGATAGGCATTTTTAGATTTTATTATGCTACAACTGCTTAATTTAGTTTTTGTTAAATTGTTCCTCAGGCAGCGACGATACAGATGAAATTGGATCTGCAGAATCCTTGCAATTTGACTTGGCCACCATTAGAGATTCTACAGATGACTTTTCTGAAGCAAATAAACTTGGACAAGGCGGATTTGGATCTGTTTACAGGGTAATGACAAGTTAATAACAAGAACTTATAATTTTGATATTTCTTGAATACCACTTATCTCATTTCTATTTTTTCATTCCGTACCGATATATTTTTTCAGGGTAGGCTTCTCAATGGAGAAGATATAGCCGTAAAAAGGCTCGCTACAAATTCTGTTCAAGGAGATTTAGAATTCAAAAATGAGGTCTTGTTAGTGGCTAAACTTCAACACCGGAATTTAGTTAGACTCTTAGGTTTCTGCTTAGAAGGAAGTGAGCGGCTTCTTGTCTATGAATTTGTCCCTAATGCAAGTCTCGATCACATCATATTTGGTATGTCTGGAATTATGCATTGTTTTCGTTTAACTTTGAACGTTTATTATAAAATTCCAATTGTGTGACATGTATGCAAGCAAACATTGTAATTGAAGTCTTGATTTTGCATTAATATATTTGCAGACCCAACAAAGCGTGCACACCTAGATTGGGTGAGGCGCTACAAAATCATAGTAGGCACTGCTCGAGGCCTCCTTTACCTCCACGAAGACTCTCGCCTTAGAATTATTCATCGTGATCTCAAAGCTAGTAACATCTTGATAGATGCAGAAATGAACCCCAAAATTTCAGATTTTGGCATGGCAAGGTTGTTCGTGCTTGATCAAACGCAAGGCAATACTAGTCGGATTGTTGGGACCTAGTAAGAATATGCACTTAACTGCCTGTGGGCCTATTTTTGTTATGTCAACAATTTCCTTTCCGTACGTGTTGGTGAACGCTGACATTCTTTTTGTTGATATGCAGTGGGTATATGGCTCCAGAGTATGCAATGTGTGGGCACTTTTCAGTTAAGTCCGATGTCTACAGTTTTGGTGTGTTAGTTCTAGAGATAGTCAGTGGACAAAAAAATAGTGGCTTCCAGCATGGAGAAAATGCAGAGGATCTTCTAAGCTTCGTAAGTGAATATATAATATAGTTTTGGTATCTCAATACAATTTAGTTCAACGAATCAAAGAAAGAAAACTTATCTCTGATCAAATTCACAAATCATTACAGGCCTGGAGAAGTTGGAGGGATGGGACAGCTTCAAATCTAATAGATCCCACATTGAATACTGGTTCAAGAACAGAAATAATGAGATGCATCCACATTGGATTATTATGTGTGCAAGAAAATGTGGCTGATAGGCCAACCATGGCATCTGTTATTCTCATGACGAATAGCTACTCCCTCACTCTCCCAGTGCCCTCCCAACCTGCATTTTATTTGCACAGCAGCATTGGATCGGACATGCCGTTACGATCTGAATATAATTCAGATCGATCGAAGAGTAACCCTGTCAAAGTAATGGAATATGAGACTTTTACTGAACCACATCCTCGCTAGTGGAATATGAGGCTTTCTGAAATTGTAATGTAATTTATTAAATAAATGTAGTTATCTATTTGTAAATGTAGTGGTTCTTCAAACTTATATCTTCCATGGCATCATCTTCCATTTAGATTGTTGCTTTGAATTCCTTAAAGTGTCCTACTTTTCTATGCTCTTGTACATCAATGTGCTTGATTCCTCAAAACTTTTCTAATTGTAAACTATCCAGAATCCCCATTATTGTAAAACAATAAATTACACTCTAATATGAAAGTTTAAAAGTTTGCAGTACCCCGGTTGCTCTCTTCAAACTTGAAAGTTTGCCGAGTCAATGATTTTCCCCCCAAATCCTTAATTTGAAGCATTGATACCAATAAAATCCCTGTCCATTGAGCCACCAATAAAGATTGAACTCCACAGTTGCCCAAAAACATAATTGGACAAGACATGAAACAACATTTTGTATTGCCCATTTGAGAAACAACTCAACATAAAACAGTAACAAAATCACTAGCCTAACTAAACTAACCAATCCAAATCATGGGTTCTCTTAGATCCTCAAAGATGACCAAAATAATTATTCCATATTTCATTTTTGGACCTGAAGGAAAGTGGGTGGAAAGCCAACAAGGAAGGTGGCAGCAGCCCAGAGAAAGGTACCAAGAGCAATGACATGGTCACATGGCCTCGGTTGTGGCGCATAGCAAGGTAAGCCGCAAGTGGGTAGCAGGCAGACTGGACAATGGATCTGAACAGAGTGAGTGAGCCCAACCCAGTTGGGTCGGTGTGCAGAGTGGCCCCCACCTCTTTGTACACCCCTGGCAACAACGACTCGTCAGCTCTCTGCATACTACTTGCTAGGTTCACCAACAAAAATGTCACAACCTCTGTTTTCATTTTCCAATCTCTGTTTGGACTGAAAACAGAGCACTCTGCTCGGTTCTCAGACCAAGGGCAGAAGGACAAATCAGAGGTTTTATGTTTAGAGACAGAAGGGGAAGAAGATTTCGTTGACTAAAGGCTGGATTGAGAATGAAGGGTTACTGTGGAAATGGTGACCCACGTCACGTGTAGGGTTGGGATTGGTGTGATTAGGGGTGGGGTGAATGGATGGAGATTTGGGGACAAAAGATTTGGCCTAGTCGGTTAGTTGATTCTTCTTGTCTTTGATGGACCTCTCTACACAGACGGGGTAGAGGGAGCTTTTCGATCGGCTTATGATGCCGTCTCCAACCTTATGCAGTGAAGCTAGTTATTAGTTAATTTATTATTATGTCACAGGCTTATGATTCTTCTTGCTACTTTTGGAACCTTCTAAAATTCTAAATTAGACATGACCCATGTTGAATCTTATATACAAGGAAAAGGATTCTAAATCAAACATGACCGTATATCAAACAATCACAATTTCATCGGTTTTGCAGGAAAGGGGGAATATTCCAATGTTGTAACTGGGGAGGACAGCTCACCAATGTTCATGCCTGAGGAACTGTAGCCTAAGGAAAGCCTCTTGATTCCTCATAAATTGTCAATGAAAACCAATTCCAAGCTAGCCACCTAAATAAGTCAAATGTAGCACAATGGAAGATGCCCCAACCTTAGTTTCAGGCTGGGCACGGCTTCCAAGCAACATTCTGGATTTGATTCTAGAAAAGTTGATCCCAATCTCTGACTATATCCGATTTAGTGCGGTTTGCAAGCATTGGCAATCAGTCGCTTTACATAGTATGAAGCAGCGCATCAAATCATGTCACAAGCAGATTCCTATGCTCATAATTCCCACCATACACGGTAGCAGCGAAAGGCGTGGCTTGAATAGTGTGACACAAGGTAAGACTTGCAGCTTTGAGTTGCATGTGCCTTACAATAAAAGGCTCTGCGGTTCTTCCCATGGTTGGTTGGCCTGTGTGGATGAGAATCTGGTAGTTACCCTCTTAAACCCTTTTACCGGGCGTACCATTAGCCTTCCACCAGTCCCCAAATCCACTCGGAGATCGATGGTAGCTTATAGAAGTGATTACTACATTAATAAAGTTGTATTGTCTGCAGACCCTTCTTTTCTTCCTAATGACTATGAAGTATTGGTCATCTATGATGGCTATGGGAAACAAATAGCCCATCTTAAATCAGGGGATGATGCTTGGACTAGCATAGATCAAGTGATCGGATTCGATGATGTAATTTATTATAAAGGCCAGTTTCTAGGTGTTAGTTTGGGTGGTAGTGTTTTTTCGATGAATGTTAGCAGGGAACACTCTACTAAACCCCATGTAAGCTTAGTTGTGCCAATGGATCCAGGCACTGACAATAAAACATACCTTGTGCAATCATCCCAGGGAGATCTTTGCTGGTTAGGAAGTTCAAACGAGTAAATTATTGTAAGAGGTTTATGAAGTCTCTCAACTTCAAGTTTTTCAAGTTTGAAAGGTTAAAGTTTGAACGAGTAAATGGTTATGATCGTTTTACGGAGACTCTGAGCTTCAGGGTTTTCAAGTTGTTCTGTGCTCATGGGGAGAGACCCCGATGGGTTGAGAATGAAAGTATTGGAAATGAAGCTCTGTTTTTGGGTACCAATCAATCCATGTGTGTCTTTGCGCTGGACTTTCCAGGTTGTCAGCCAAATTCCATATACTTCACTGATGATTGTGTGGATGTAGAATGCCATAAACCTAAAGGGCCTCATGACATGGGTGTCTTCAACTTGGAAAACAGAAGCATGGGAACACATTACTGCTTGGATCGTTCGCAGAAGCACATGCCACCAGCAATTTGGATCTTGCCCTCTATGGTGTGAAAAGATAGTTCCAGTTTTGTTCTTTCAAGCTCTATTTTCATTTGTTTGCCATTCTAAATGTAAGCTCCAAACATCTCTTATAAGGACATTGAGCTTCCAACTCTGTATAACCCTTGAAGACGGTAATAAAACTAACACAGCAACATGTTCTTACACCGCAACGCATTTTAGCAACATGTTCTTACACCGCAACTCTGTATATAAATTATAATGAATAGCTCTTGAGATGGATAATGGAAGTTTAATGTGAATTGAAATACAAGACGCAAAGTTTATATGGCAGTAGTCTAATTTTCACCGAGTCTTTATATTCGAATATAGACCACTATATAATAGTAAAGAAAGAAAGCAATTTGAATGATATGTAGGAAAGTGGTGGATGGCCACATTTACAGAGAAAGCAATTTGGCTAGCTGTGGGGTTCTTTATTTTGGCTTACCACTACAGAGAAAACAAAACTTCTGACATTTGATATGGGACTTTTTGAGATAGCATAGTGCCACTTTGCTACTGAATTTACTATGTTGTATGCTAGGCTGCCAGCTTATTGGTTTTGGAGCCAATTCCAATTTAATTGGATCATATTTTTAGCCATACAAGGAAAAAGAAAATTCATAATTTTCTTCGGTTTTGCTGGAAGGGGAATATTCCACAAGAAAACAGGAGGGCAATTCAACAATATTAGCTTCTGGTTCCTCAAAAATTGTCAATGAAACCCAATGCAAAGCAAGCTTCAAAAAATACAAAAAGCTATTTCCAATACTATGGGAGAGGCAATATCATCAACTGTAGTTTCAGGTTGGGCATGGCTCCGGAGCGACCTTTTGTATCTGACTTTTTCTTTTGTGGAATTTTCCTTTCCTTTGACCCAGATTACGCAGTAGTTAACACAAATGCTAATGGATGTGGCCAACGTTTAATTTGGTTGCAGAAAGAAAAAGCAATAGAGAGGAAAGAAAGTTGGTCCTCAACCACTCCTGTTTCAATCAATGGTTTAATATTCAATCAATACTCAAAAGTCAAAATCAGTACCAGTCCGGTCTCCATCTACATTTTAATTAAAACAGTGTGAAATGGTCAAAGAAGTATTTTGATGAATTGGAATTGGCAGGATTTGGTCAAGCAGGGAATTCTTACATTGTCCCACTAGTAGAAAACTGTTCTAAAGGCACGGAATTTTATTATATTTTTTTGCTGTCAAAAGGCACAATCTTATGCCCAACGTATTTCTATCCGTGTGAATAGTTGTGAAAGTAGGCACTAATCATAAATTTATGCCCATCGAGTCAGGTGCACACAACTGGATTTGGATATGCGCTACAAAGTCATAGTAGGCATTGTGCATGGGCTCCTTTATCTCCTTGAAGATTCTCGCCTTAGAACTATTCACCTCCAGAGCGTGAGTCTGGATTAAGTAAATGTCTTTGTCCTTTTACTTTCATTTATTTTTATATTACTCCATTTACTTAAGTTTACAATGTAAATAAGGAAGTACCGCCCATTTGAATTCAAATAAAAATACTAGAAAATCAAATTCCCACCAAATTAAAATATGAAAATTCGGTTTTAGTGCAAAATACGATTTAGGCTAAAAACGATAGCTCATTAAGTCAATATATACTTCATACTAAAATCCCATAAAATCAAGTTTTCTTATTTGATGTGTAAGGAATAAAAGCCGCCAAAAATTATCTTGAGAAAATGATTATTCTGAAAAACTATTTTTCATACTTAGTCAATATTGCACCTCTGCTAAAAAAAATTTGTATCCCCCAGTGGGTTCTGTTACCCTTTCTCAGAGTCACATGTGACTCACGTGTTCAATAACAAAGGGCTAAATAGGTTATTCAGTTATTCAATCTCAATCATCCATTTTTAAAATGCAAATTCAGCCTTTGGATAAGTGGCTGTACTGGTACAATCAATATACCACAAATACAAATGGATTTAGAAGTTCGATCAAAACTACGTCACCTTTTCTTTTGTGGAATTTTCCTTTCCTTTACGTAGTTAACACAAATACAAATGGATGTGGCCAACGTTTAATGAGTGGTTCTAAAGGCACGGACTTATACCGTGTGAATAGTTGTGAACGTAGGCACTGATGCATGTGCCCACTGCTCCATCATACTCCACAGGGCCACACCCACCTCTCTCTCTCTCTCTCTCTCTCTCTCTCTCTCTCTCTCTCTCTCTCTCTTGTCAGTGGCAAAAAAGAGAGAAAAGTCCAACTTAAGCTTCTTGCACACGTTCTCTCTCTCTCTCTCTCTTATATAATACATTAAAATTAAAAACTTTCTTATCAAAAAACCAAAGTAAAGAGCTAAATCCTGAGAAAAAAGAAGTAAAGAGCTAAATATAAAAAATAAAAATGATTTAATATTCAATCAATCCTCAAAATTCAAAATAGTACCAGTCCAGTCTCAATCAATGCTCAAAAGAAGAATTTTCGTTTGATGAATTGGAATTGGCAGCATTTGGTCTGAGTATTATTATATGACATATATCATTTGAGAAATAAATTACATTTTTCTTTTTTATGTATTATGCTCTTTTTATTTTCTTTTTATCAACAAGACAAGAGAATTTAAATTTGAGACTCTTCTAATATTGTTGTAGATGTAATCATCAGACAGACAACTATTCTTCCACTTTTCACTAATTGTTGTAGATGTAAGAGTTTTCATTGTACATCTAATCATCAGAATGGCGCCATTAATGTTCTCCTTAAGATTTCTGTTCTTCCTTTCTCCCGTTTTGTTCCTCATGATCAGCACTCAATCCCTTGCTGAGCCGCCTGATTTTTTAGGCCAATGGTGTTTCGACGCTAAAGTCAGCTTCACCCCCAACAGTACCTACCAGACAAACCTCAACACCCTTCTCTCTTCTCTTGCTTCCCCCTCCAACAACGGCAATGGCTACGGCTTCTACAACTCATCCTACGGGGAAAACCCCGACCAGGTTTACGCAATCGGGCTATGTCGAGGGGATGTCACGGGGGACACTTGCCGTGACTGCCTCAGCAACTGCACACAAAAGCTCCCACAGGTCTGTCCCAATCAAAAGGAAGCTTTGGGCGTATATGACCAGTGCATGCTTCGCTACGCCAACCGCTCCATCTACGGCACCATGGAAACTCTCCCTGCTTTCATTCTGTTCAACAAACAGAACGTGTCCTCCTCCGACGTCGAAGGGTTTTTTCAAGAGCTGGGGACGCTACTGAAGGACCTAAGTGGTCAAGCTGCGGCGAACGGTTCACTTCGAAAATTTGCGGTAGGGACCGCAACCGCTCCCAACTTCCAAACAATCTATGGACTTGCGCAGTGTACGCCGGATTTGACCGAGCAGGTCTGCAGTGATTGCTTGCTTGGTGCTTTGGGAGATATCCCAGGATGTTGTCAGGGGAAGCAAGGGGTTAGAATTTTTAAACCCAGCTGTAATGTTGCGTATGAGATCTATCGCTTCTATGACCCTACAACTGTCCGACCATTGCCGCCTTCTTCGCCGCCACTGTCTAGCACACAAAAGAGGACTTTGTATCCTTAGGTGAGCCAAATTTCCAACAATATCCCAATATATTATGCTTCGAAGAAATAAAGTTGGCTTAACTAGAGCAATTGTCCAGGAATTTGTAGACGAGTTACACTTTAGTCCCTCACCTCAATTTTTAGTTATATAGTTGTCTCGTGTACAAGTTCAAGGACTATTGCTACCATTGACACTACAACAATTTTGGGTCGAAGAGATTTCTAATGCATATTTTGTTAGGTTCATAAACAAATGTATGTATGTATGTATTCAAATTAATGCAAATGAGATTTCTGATTTTTGCAGGATCGAAGAGTAACAGATCTCGAACTGTCATCATTATTGTTGTGCCAATTGTTGTTTCTGTGGTACTAATAGTTATATTCTTCTGCATTTGTTTAAGAGTAAGGAGGACAAAGAAAAAACTTGAAACTAGGAAGTTACTTCCAGGTAAACAGGCAACTCTAGTGAACATTAATCATATTATTCCATTTGATATGGGGAAGACAAGAACTACTACTTTTATGGGCATTTTTAGAATTCAATTGTTCCTCAGGCGACGACGATACAGATGAAATTGGATCTGCAGAATCTTTGCAACTTGACTTGGCCACCATTAGAGTTTCCACAAATGACTTTTCTGAAGCAAATAAACTTGGACAGGGGGGAATTTGGATCTGTTTACAGGGTAATGACAAGTTAACAAGAACTTATAACTTTGATATTTCTTGAATGCCACTTATATCATTTCTGTTTTTTCATTCCGTAACTATATATTTTTTCAGGGTAGGCTTCTCAATGGAGAAGATATAGCTGTAAAAAGACTCTCCACAAATTCTGGGCAAGGAGATTTAGAATTCAAAAATGAGGTCTTATTAGTGGCTAAACTTCAACACCGGAATTTAGTTAGACTCTTAGGTTTCTGCTTAGAAGGAAGTGAGCGGCTTCTTGTATTCCGTACCTATATATTTTTTCAGGGTAGGCTTTTCAATGGAGAAGATATAGCTGTAAAAAGACTCTCTACAAACTCTAGACAAGGAGACTTAGAATTTAAAAATGAGGTCTTGTTAGTGGCTAAACTTCAACACCGGAATTTAGTTAGACTCTTAGGTTTCTGCTTAGAAGGAAGTGAGCGGCTTCTTGTCTATGAATTTGTCCCTAATGCAAGTCTTGATCACATCATATTTGGTATGTCTGGAATTATGCATTGTTTTCGTTTAACTTCGAATGTTTATTATTATAAAATTCCAATTGTGTGACATGTATGCAAGCAAACATTGTAATTGAAGTCTTGATTTTGCATTAATATATTTGCAGACCCAACAAAGCGTGCACAACTAGATTGGGTGAGGCGCTACAAAATCATAGTAGGCACTGCTCGAGGCCTCCTTTACCTCCACGAAGACTCTCGCCTTAAAATTATTCATCGTGATCTCAAAGCTAGTAACATCTTGATAGATGCAGAAATGAAC